TGTGCAGTTTTTTTAATATCAAAAATTGGTGTACTTGGTTTGCATACACGTACGTATATGGCTTTTTAAGGGAAAACTTTCCACACCAGATCAGCATTACTAATAGCCAATTGTATTAATATAAATATATAAAGCTCATTATTCTACGAGTTAACAAAAAAACTCAATAACTAGAAAAGTTATTGAAATAATATGTTCAACTCTTATCTTAGATATGAAATAAATCACATTTGTCATGTCAGTAATATAATATATAATATATTCACAGGCAGTCAAAAACGCGGATGTGTCAAAGATCACCGTACCCTGCATAATGGGATCCATAAATAGGACTAATTTTATCAACACTTGACACGATTTTAAACTTTCCTGGTTTGATATGTGCACTTGTGACAATTACCAAGAGGTAAAATGCTCGTCTGAAGTAGGAATTGCCGAACTTCGAACCAAAAAGAAGGCGTGACCGGCTGAGAAATTTTGATGATTACGACTTGTTGTGGCTATATTTTTAAAATTTAAACACAACATATTATAAAGTGGGATGTTTTGCATCATTTGGTTCGGGTACTTTATCTAGAAAATTGTTATTTAGGCCAGAATTAAATTTTTTGGTGTTTATTAAGAAGGAAGTGAATTAGCAGATCATAGAAAACGGAACCGGTCGAATTTGCCGAACTGTAGACCGCATGATTTAGGTCAAGTTGTGTCGTGGGGTAGTGACGCATGTAGTCATTGAAACCTTGTATTATACAAAGATAACAAGAAAATTCCCTGTAAAAAACTGGTAGTTAAAAACCCAGATAGTAATACATTTCGTGGGAAATAAATATACATGTACAGACATAACTTCTTATATACGATAATGATATGACAATCGGATTTTGAATGGAAATCACTCATGAAAAGAAATAGTAGAGGTGTAGAGGACGGCCGTCTCCCCACAAAATCGAATTTTGAAAGGAAAATCACTCGTGTAAATAAATAGAATTTTGCTGAATATAAGTACACATAGGTGTAGAAGACGGCCGTCTCCCCACAAAATAAAAACAACACCCCACATTCCGCAAATATCCAGGGCCAAAATAACATATTTTCAAGAAATGAAAGGTACGTTAAATATGGCTAAATATTTAACAACCGGTTATAAAGTTAACATGTTTATAAATGTATGCATATGATGCTTAGTTTAAAGATTTTCCAGGAACGGGGGTGGGGGGGGGACAGAGGCCTAATCATACGAACTTTGTTCCGTTCGGTGTGTTCTGTATAAGATCATGCACTTCTGATTTTGTTAAATTCGGAGTTTTGATTAAATAACTAGTAACATCTTCATCACAAGTTTCACATACAGTCCTTTATTCCCCTAAGGTCCCGTGTACACATTGGCGTGCACGTAAAATAACTCTTGTCAGTTGGAATTCGATATAAGAGTAGGCCGTGGTGCAGCTGCCCGGGCAAAATTATTTTAACTCATAACTACACTGTATGGCGTTTACCCGTCTTCATTTGCCCAGTCAAAGCAGAACTCCATTTCATGCATATCACTTCAGGAATTCGCGTACAAACATGAAATAGTCTATTCTGAATCATTAATCTGGTGCAGAATTAAGCAATATTAAATATTCAGCATACGGGATACGAATTTATATTATTTCTAATAGAATGGAATAATGCCAAGGCAGCGTTAATATCGCTATTAGAGGTTACACGGAAGACGCTGGCTCGCTAGCCTGGAGGTCGGGTGTTCGATCCATTGGCCGAGAAAGTTCATCCAGATTTTCCGGCGTGGTTCCCCCTTGTCAGTGATGCAGGATGGGGGGGGGGGCTGACAATGACAGCTGTCTAGTCCTTCGGATGAGACGAAAAACCGAGGTCCCGTGTATACATTGGAATGCACGTAAAAGATCCCTTGGCAGTTGGAATTCGATATAAGAGTAGGCCGTAGTGCCGCTGTCCGGGCAAAATTTCCCTCATAGCACACTGTATGGCGTATGCCCGTCTTCATTAGCCCAGGTTAGGAGCAGAACAGTAGGACGTTAAACTCCATTTCATTTCATTTCATTTATATTTACACCAATCTGTCATGGCCATCAAGCAGGATATATTTCGTCTAATTTTCGTAATGGGTGTCATCCACATTTCCAAAATAAATTCGAATTCATTCTCTTTCAATCGAATTATCTCATCTTAAATTGGGAATCATTCATCAAAGGACCAAAAAAGAGAATAACTGGAGGGTGACAAAAGCGACATGTCGTTCGGGTGGTACTCAAATCCTAGGTCTACCAGTGCACGTGAATGAACCCATGGCAGTTGAAATTCAATGAAGAATCGGTGGAGGCGCCACTGTCCTGGCAAATATATAGCGCACTGCAAGGCGTAAGCCCCTTAATGTGGCCCGGTTGGTGCTGAAACGACTCTGGCATATGTTACAAAGAGTAGGGTTACCGGCCTAACCTCGTATATTTTCTCTTATGCATGTAAGTAATGCCCCCACCCCATCTCTGTGAGTTTCAAGTATGCACGTATATACTACCCCACCCTCTCTCCGCGGGTTCCGATCATGTAAATACTACCCACACCCCGTCCCCGTGAGTTTCAAGTATTGATTATGCATGTAACTACTACCGCACCTCCTCTCCGCGGGTTCCGATCATGTAAATACTACCCCCACCCCATCCCTGTAAGGTAACTTTGCCCGGACAGCGGCGTTTCGCCCTTATTTTCATCAAATTCCGACACTTGTTTGTGTGCACGCGAATATGTACATCGAACCTCGATTTTGCGCCCCTTCCGAACAATTAGATTCTATTCCTTGTCAGACACTCCACCCAGAAACACTGACACACGGAAACAAGCTTGAAAGTTCCAAGTAACTTTAAATGGCGTGAATCCCTTATGGTAACGGCATCAGACACAAAGTAATGTGTCAAATGAAAAAAGGATTTAACGTCTTTTGTGTAGCAACCGGGCTAATAAAGGCGAACATAAGCCAAGCACTGTACTGGAGAGCGACGGGGGGATTTTGCCCGGGCAGCAATTCTGTGGCCTACTCGTCTCCCGCAAACACAAAATTTTAAGACTACAGTGTGTTATTTATGTACTTGATTAACCCACATGCCCGGGCAGAGTGCCCGCTTTTTACTTTATTATTTTAAAATTTTAACTGCATATTTAAGCACATCAATGGTCACGAAAACCCCAGGTCCGGTGTACACATTAGCGTGCACACAAACGAACCCTTGACAGTCGGAGTTCGATATGTAGCCCATAGTTCCATTGTCCGGACAAATTTTTCTGTCATACTATGGTATGCTCATTTTCATTATCCCAGTCGGAGCAGAACAATATGATGTAAAACCCTATTTCATTTTATCTCTAATATAACGGACTCTGAATACCTTATGGCGCCCACTACGATTCCACCTCGGGGAAGTCAAGGTCCGATAATCAGAGCATATTTTTGATGGAAACACAACAAAAGAACCAGTAATGGTCGATTTCTAGTCGGGATATTTTTGTCATATTTGTGCATAGTCATAAACTTTCTGCATGAGCAATTCAACGGATTGTGAAAAGATAATTTTCATTTTATAACTGTATAAAAGAGAGAGAGAGAAATGGGGTTTAACGTCCACTCGACACATTTATGGTTTAATTTTTTTTTATTTCAATAATGCGCTTGTGCATAGGAGTCTTTAGCAGTGGGAGGAAACCAGAGGACCCGGAGAAAACCCACGAGGTTGGACAGCCGACCCTACTCTTTGTCACGTACAACCAGGGATTCAAAACCACGCCAGTTGACTGAATGACAGGCCTGTATAAAAGAGTCCGATACTAGTTTTAATTTATACAATAAGTCTATAATGATTAACGAGAGGGATCATAGAGGACACAAACGCAGATGCCTCTAGGTTGGTAACAAGGTGTCATAACAAAAATCCAAAATTGTTGAATATCCAACGATACCAACCTTTGATATAGTTTAGAAAGCTATGCAAATTTAAAACAAGACTGAATGATAACTGTAGCCGTATGAGTGTTAACAAGGTTTTGTAACAAAGGGACATCAGAAATCATTTGAAAACCAATATGCTTCGCACTCTCTAATATTGCCGGGCAAGATACACACATTTCAAAAATATTGGATGAAAATTTTGGAATGTTCACCAATATGCTTTGCACTCTCATACAACCAGGATAGCAACTGCGGCTCAGTGAGTAGGATCTTGGCTTGATAACCTGCATTCTCTGCCAGGGAAAATATTCCTTCATAGGCCAGTCGGAGCAGAACAGTCAGGCAAGATACACATAGGTTATAAAGATTCGATAAAAACAGAAGTTCAAGAGTATTAATGAGAATTCTGGATGATAATACATGACCAAACATGACGAACGGACCGACAGAGCCAAAATATGACATGAACAGAAATGGGGTTTAACGTCCTACTCTTCTGCACCGATTCTTTATTTCAAATTCCAAATGTCAAGAGTTCTTTTACGTGCACGCAATGTTTTGTTGTTTTTTTTCCCATCTGTCCTGCACCACTGACAAAAGGGATCATACTGGAAATCCTGATGACCTTTCACGGTCAACGCCGGGATCAAACACAGAACCTCGAGGCTAACTAACCTATTACTCAATGAGGCACCGCGGCTCCCTAAAAAGGGTGACAAATATACATCACATTTCCATGTGGGCTTATAAGAAAGGGGGAGAGAGAGAGAAATGGGGTTTAACATCCATTCGAAACAAACTAGGTCATTTTGGGACTAACACATGGTTGAATTTTATTTCAATAATTCGCTTGCGCGTAGGTGTCTTTAGCAGTGGGAGGAAACCGGACAAAATTCACGAGGTTGGACAGGCGATCCCACTCCTTGTCACCGGGGAATCGAAACCACGCGAGTTGACTCAATGACAGACCTCATGATACAGTGACAGTGCTAACCATTCGGCAACCCCCCCCCCCCCCCCCGGGATTATAAAAAAAACTAGATTATTAGCACTTTATGATGTTTTATTGTGTATAAATACATCAGTTCAATCATACAAACTATTTACATTTCAACAATTTACCAGTTAGTTCCATCAGGTCTTATATAATAGAAACAAAGTTTACTAAGATAGCTAACAAATAAAATATACTTTATTTTGATACAACCATTTTCATTGTACTGGTAGGTACTGTATCTCTAGCCTACCAACTTTTAATGGATGGCTAAACATATTAGATATTTTCTTGTGAGTTATTAGATATTTTATTCCGAAAACAAACTAATACGAACACTAAATAAATTTTCTCCTTAAATTAAATAAATATGAACTGTATTCAGATAAATTTGGTCTTTTATTCGAAATGCCATATTCCATACTTGTCTCTGTCTTATTGTCTTGAGTTGTTATCAGACCTGTATCCTCTACTTAAAATTGATCCTATTTTAAAATCTATATATTATATAGGAGACCTTAATTAGGATCAATTTTAGTAGATTTAACAGGTTTTATTAGATACAGACTCCACTTGTTTTATTAGTTCAGATTTTTATTTCTATCACATCAAGTTTATCTATCTACCTCACCAAATACAATATCCAGAGTTCCTAGAAAATAAAAACACAAATAATATCAGTTCTTATATCTAAATGAATCAATTATACAGGAAAAAAAGGTTAAAAATATTCGAAGAAAGTACTAAGGCAAAAGAATTATACAATCTTTCTTTAAGCATGTTTAACCTTTTTTTCTACAGTTTCAACTTTAAATATCTATTTGGGTTTGGGGGTACAGTGGAATATAATAGATAATTAGTCCCAGTTTCATGGGTTTTTTTGAATGGATTGTCCAATTTACAATTGTGTGACTAAAAATGAAATGAAATGAAATAGGGTTTAACGTCCTACTGTTCTGCTCCTAAACTAGGCTAATGAAGATGGGCATACACCATACAGTGTGCTATGAGGGAAATTTTGCCCAGGCAGCGGCGCTACGGCCTACTCTTATATTGAATTCCAACTGCCAAGTGATCTTTTACGTGCACGCCAATGTTAAAAGGACCTCTAAAAAATGACAAAAACTGTTATGGGTCAATAACCAGGAAAATAACATATTTTTATATACATATATATATATATTTGTGTATGTTTTTTGTTTGTTAGTCTATCTGGGTTTGGGGCTTTAGTGGACACGTACAGCTGAATGTGGTGGACTTTAAACAGTTTTATATTATTTTTAAAGGAATTGCCCATTTTAAGAGTGCTACCTGTGACTAAAAGATGACAAAGAACTGTATTGGATCAATAACATTTTGTTTGTTCACCTATTTAGGTTTGGGGCTATATTGGACTGAATGTAATAGAATTTAGACATAAACTCAGTTTTATAATATTTTAAAAAGAGCTTGTCTATTTTACAAGTGCCTGTGGGCAAAAGACAACAAAATCCTTTCGTGGGTCAATACTCAATAAACCTGGAAAACCACAAAATGATGACATCCTTTGCTAGATCTCATATCTTCCTGGCAGACCAGACAATTCTATTTTACTAAATCCTCATATCAATGAAAATTATAAATGCTTCCTGTTCAATGATGGAAGTTTCCACCCAGTACTCATATTTTATTTGATCAGCATCCTCAATTATCGTGTGTAATTAACCCATCATGTTCCTGATAAATAGATCTCTTAACAGGAACAACATTTATTATCAGATTTACTGAATAATAGATACTTGTGTAATTATTAACTTCCGGGGATATTTTTTCCTTTCAATCAAATAAGTACCAATTGTGTCAGTAACAAAAAACTAACATGCAGCCTTACCATACTGGTTTTTGGGGTTTTTTTTTTCTTTTTTTTCTTCTGTTTTCAAAAGTGAGAGATAGGGTTTAACTTCCACTTGACACAAACTAAATCATTTTGGGACTAACATATGGTTCAATCTTATTTCAACAATTCACTTCTGCATTTGGGTCTTTAGCAGTGGGAGGAAACTAGAGGACCGGGAAAAAACTCACGAGGTTGAACAGGCGACCCTACTCATTGTCACGTACAGCCAGGAAATCAAAACTACGCCAGTTGACTCAATGACAGACCTTATGATACAGTGCACACACGCTAACCATTCGGTCATCCAACCCTCCTTTTCAATAGATAAATAAGTATTAAATATACACAAAACCTACCAATAATAGCTACAACATCAGCTAACATATGTTTTGTTGATAATTTCTCTAACCCAGCCTGTAAATAAAATATTAACACATTAGTTTATATTTAATATAACACAGCCATTAACTACACTTTAATTTACTGATCAGCATTCATTTGTTTATATCTAGGCATTGTCCAGAAAAAAAACTCTTAGTATAGTGGCACCAAAAGGTTAAATATTGGAGATAAAAAAAGCAACATTTGCGAAGAGGGAGAAATGGGGTTTAATGTCACTCGACAACAACCTGGGCCCTTATTCACGAAAACTTAAACTAAGATACAATCGAAATTTTAAGAAATACTGCAATTCGATTGGCTGACCAATATGCAAATTAGATATATGCAAATTGTATCTTAGTTTAAGTTTTCGTGAATAAGGGCCCAGGTCAGTTAGGAACTAACATATGTTCTGCTCCGACTGGGCTAATGAAGACAGGCATACACCACCATACAGTGTGCAATGAGGGAAATTTTGTCCAGGCTGCAGCATTATGGCCTAATCTTATATCAAATTCCAACTGCCAAGGGATCTTTTACGTGCATGCCAAAATATATTTGAGACCTTGTTTTTTTGTCACATCCGAATGACTAGACAGCTGTCCTTGTCAGGCCCCCCGTCCTTCACCATTGACATGGGGAAACCACATCGGAAAACCACAATGAACTTTCTCGATCAATGCAGGGATCGAACACGCGACCTCCAGGCTAGCGAGCCAGTGTCTTATCACTTAGCCACCGTGGCTAAAATTTTATTTCGATAATTTGCATGCGCATAGGGGTCATCAGCAATGAGATGAAACCGGAGGACCCAGAGAAAATCCATGAGGTTGGACAGGCGATCCCTCTTCCTCACTTTGTACATCTAGGAAACACCGATCATAGGGGTCTTCAGCAGTGGGAGGAAACCGGAGGACCCATGGAAAATCCATGAGGTTGGACAGGCGATCCTACTCATTGTCATGTACAAGCAGGGAATCGAAACATTGTCAATGACAGACTTTATGATGCAACGCATCCGTGTTAAATCAATCGGCCACCCAAACACCTTTCCTCACTTTGGACATCTAGGAAACACCAGTCAAAGAAACCCTGGGTATAGGCTGTGAAACATTCTAGGACTCGTTGGTCAAAGGGTTAATATAATTAAGTAGTTATTTACCAGATGAGCGAATCCTGGAGCCTTTATTTTACATCTGTATGGTTTGTTTGTACCATCTGATACTAAATATACACCGAACTCTCCCTAAAATATACAAAACATAAATATACACCAAACTCTCCCTACAATTGACAAATTAGTTACATGGCATTTTTTCCCTGTCAAATGTGGATTAAACATATCATATACAAATCAAAATTAAATGGTGATTTAATGAAATGAAATGGGGTTTAATGTCCAACTGTTCTGCTCCGACTGGGCTAATGAAGATGGGCATACACCATACAGCGTGCTATGAGGGAAATTTTGCTCGGACAGCGATGCTACGCCCTACGTGTACACGGGACCTCGGTTTTCCATCCTATCCTAAGGACTTGACAGTTGTCCTTGTCAGACCCTCCACCCTGCACCACTGACAAAGGGAAACAGGGGTGGAAAATCCTGATAAACTTTCTCGACCAACACCGGGATCAAACCTGCGACCTCCAGGGTAGCGAGCCAGCATCTTACTCACTTAGCCACAGCAGCTCCCTTACAGACACAGTGACATGGCAATCTCGTTCAATCTCGAGTGAATCTACGATACTGTTATTGTTTACATTAAGGAAATCCGGTTAGCAGATTTTAATGTAATGGATAGTATTTGGGGTGAAAGAGTTACAAATTCGTCAAGTAAAGATAAACAATTTTTGATTTTATTAGCTCTAGCTTTTCATTACGCTTTTGAAACAAGGAGCTGGAATTAAAGTGGAACAATAACGGAACAAGAGTTTTATCAAAAATCGGAACCGATCACAAAAAATCAAAATCGGACCAGACAAAAAGCAGAATTCTGCTTTAAAGCAGGAAAAAAATTATGTCTGAGGTCATCAGAAAACTAACATTTGGGATTTGAGATTGACAAACACCAATGGTTTTTCTCTACTATCAAATTCATGATATTCTAACCATGAGCTCACACTGTAACCCAAGTATCATTTAAAGATACATTATGGGAGATAAGATAAAGAGATGACAGTTCTCGCTATAATAGTTAAAAACTAGATAGTGTAAAGGTAATTTGCTGAAAATTTCAGTCAAATTGATCCACTATGAGCCGAGAAAGAAGCGGGTGAAATTTTTGCATAGTCTCGGTCATCATTACTAAAATCATTAATATAAACAGCATAGTCTCGATTATCCACTTTTTCTGATTTAATTATCAACGGCCATTAGCGGCATATAGGAATCTAATACAGCCAACATCGAAGGCTAGCCTTGACATCGAGTTATTATGGTCTGGATAAGTTAATTAATGTCTAATTGCTAATTTAGATAACATTTCAGGCCTAAAGAAAGACTTGTAATAAGCAGATTTTGCTCTTGCATAATGCATGTTTAATCTTGCGTATTTAGCATTCATTATTTTAACATTCAATCAATATTAAATCTTTGTTTAAAAAAATTCGCATAAATAATTCAAAATCACCAAAAATCATCTAATTTGTACTTGTGTCCAGTTTAAAAATGACCATTCAATTTTGATAATGAGTGTCCAATTTACAAGTGTTTAATTTCTCCGGTTCCAGCATCAGTATTAGAACTACACGAATACACCATGTTCAAATATATGAATTGTTCGTGATATAGAAATGTTTTAAATGTATTTACATTTTCACAATGTACATAAGTATTCAACAATGTCCCTGTACATCTTGATTGATTTCTAATATAATTTTAACCGCCTAATTACTGCATGCCTTAAATGACTACAGTAATTGCTTCATGTATAACGGCATCGTTAATAAGTTCAGAGTAAATAATTCCTGATCAACACAGAGAGAGAGACAGAGAAATGGCATTTAATGCCCACTCGACACAAACTAGGTTATTTCAGGACTAACATATGGTTCAATTTTATTACAATAATTCACTTACACGTAGGGAGGTAAACGGAGGACCTGCAGAAAACCTCTTGAGGTCGGACAGTCGACCCAAATTCCTTGTTGCGTACAAGCAGGGAATCAAAACCACACCACTTGACTCAATGACAGACCTTGTGATTTCACATGCACGCATTAAACCACTAGACCACCCAGTGTGTCCCCCCCCCCCCCCCATGATTAACAGATATATTAGAGTAAAGAGTATTAATTCATTACCTTAGGAGCCTCTACAGCTGTATATGTAGATCCTGGGGGTACGTGATAACCTTCTGTATAAAGTTTAAAATGGTGAATTAAAGCTTCCATAGATTCCTGATAAAAACAAAAACATCTGATATTAAAACAATTCAATTATTCTGTAAACTAGAGAGAAATACATGACCAAATTAGGGAAAATTTGAAATTAGGTTTGATTCAAAGTCTCTGTGGGTTTTCGGATTAAAGAAGAGGCCGAAAAGATTTCAGTGAAAATCGTAGGTTGACTTGTGTTGACTAGATCATAATGTCATTTGCATGGAACGCTGTCTGTTGACTAGTTTTCAATTTATCTTTGTAAATACTGAGCTGAATAGAACTATTTTTAGACTGATATTTCTTTTTGAGATTCATCTTTAACAATATTGTGATTTACAAGGGATTTCTTCAATTCCTCAAATGACAATATGCAACTTTAATATAAATATTTTTAATCTAGTAATGATAATAACCACCGATAAAGCTAATATCCATATTTAACTGATCATAAGAAATAAATGAATAAATCATACGAGTTAAAATCAACTACTAATTTTTTGCCCATAGGTAATAAAACTTATTTTGACTAAACAAGACTTTCTTGCGTAAAGATTGGCTTTATTATCGACATCAAAAATGAAATTATTAGATGATTAAATGATAATAAATGAAATTATTAGGATTAAATTATAATAATTGTAGGATATAAAACCAAATAAAATATTTAATTCTAAAACAGATCAAGTGGGATTTATGGTCAAGGAGGAGATAACTCGTGCTATTTTCATAACCTTATAATTTCAACAGTTAACTCAGAAGGCTTTCAAAATTCAAATGTTGAATAAACATCTTTTATAGTCTATGAACCACTGTACAGGATAGATTAATTTTAATTTACATAAAACAAAACACCAATTTCACAATAACCAATTTTCTGCCCAATATATAGACATGGTAATGGTAGAAATAAAATGGGGTTTAGTGTCTTATGTTTCTGCATCAACCGAGCTAATTAACACTGCCCTGATATTGAAATATATTCCTAGCAGTGCTTTACTCATCTAGACCATTTTAAATGTTAGCATCTTAGAAGCATGAATATCTACATACATGTTTCATCTGATGAAGCAATAACCTGATTTTTTAAACGCACATTATTCAAGATTAGATAGAGAGCTGACAGTTCTCGCAATAGATAATAAAAAAAGTAATTTGTTGAATATTTCAGTCAAATTTCTTCACTCAGAGCCTTGTTATCATCGTTAGAAGAACAGTGCAGCCTTGTTTGTCATTGCTACCATTGTTAAAATAATAAACAAAGTCTCGAATATCCATTCTTAGGGTAACCACATCAACCGCAAAACGAATCTAAATCTATTGAAAATCTAGACTATACCATGGCATCGAGAGTTGATTATGGTCTAGATAAGTTAATTAATGTCTAATTAATAATTTATATAACATTTCAGGCATAAAGAAAGACCAGCAATAGGCAGATTTAGCTCTTGCATAATGTATGTTTAAGTGAAGGCAATGGGAAATATTATCAAGCCCGTAACAAAAGCAATACTATCCTCGAAATATTAGTAATTTTATTACTGAGTGTTCCAGTCAATTTTAGAGTGTAAATAAACATGATATAACTACCTTCATTTCCGCTCGTTTAGGAGGAACTATTTTATTATCATCAACTTTAATTTCACCTTCAGGCATATCATTTAAACATTGATGTATAATTCTTAAACTCTGTCGCATTTCTTCCATTCGGATCAAATATCTACAAAATATAATAATAATAATAACATGAAATCTGTACTCAAAAGGATTTCTTAATGATTTCTTAATCTTCAAAAGATTTCTCAATCTTCAAAAGGATTTCTAAATCTTCAAAATGATTTCTAAATCTTCAAAATGATTTCTAAATCTTCAAAATGATTTCTAAATCTTCAAAATTATTTATCGATTTTCAAAATTATTTATCGATTTTCAAAATTATTTTTAAATCTTCAAAAGAAATACCCACAAACTAATTGATTTCCTCATAGTTTTTCATTTTCTTCAAGAATATATTTTTGTATTTGTGAACCAATGTCAGTTAAACTAATTGAATTTTTATGTCTTACTGGAAATATTTAATAATATTAATTCAATGAAGATAACAAATTTTCTAAACAAACCAAAAATAATGGGATAATGGGAAACATGACGATTTCATAGAATTATTTTTTTTTGAGAAAGTGTTATTTTTGATAATTCGAAATGGTCTTCACAGTATATAAAAGACACCAAATAATAATGTGTTCCCCAAAAATGTTTGTAGGCATTTGAGAAAGCTTTTGCTGACTTTGGCACAAACACACTTAAATCGGTATTTGTTTATTTTTTGCAATGTCGGTTTAGTTTTTCTTATCGGTGTTATTTGGCATGTAGTGCGGTCCTACAGCACTTATTATTAAAGCAGTGCCCCTTTTTTTAACATAACATTTTTATTAAGGATATCTAAATGGGTTTAGCCTATGTTAGGGTGACCCACCATAAATAAATATCTCCAAATATCTCGACAATTACGCCACAATATTTATATATATGCCAAGCCTCAAATCAGTTTAACACAATTATAGTCACTAAATAAACGATCATGTTGTACTTAATAAGCTATGACCATTAATCATGTATAAATAATAGACTGAAAACTGGTTCCAAGTGTCGTCCATAACATCCAGACACTTTTGAGTAAAAGATAGGTTACGTGCCCTTGTTTTGAAATTAGTCTCGCTTAACCAGTCTATCGACCATTCTACGTCTGATTGACAGGTCGGGATAATCAAGACTACTTTTTTACGAAACATAACAGAAAGCTAGAACAAGAAATTGAATTTAGAAATAAGCACTTTAGACAACTCAACAATTGTTTAAGAAACTTGTAAAAGTAAAATGAAATTTACTGCTATTCAAAATCGTCAACAATAGATTTTTTACGGCTGTAATAGTTGATATATTTGTAGAGAATTGCACGTGCCATGGCTATTTATCGCCTCAAAGCGAATGCGGGGTAGTCAGAAATCAATTCGACACACGCAACTGAAACGTGCACATCTAGCCGTGTCGAGACCAACTTTCTGTAGAGTGCACGGGTCACCCTACCTATGTAAAATCCCTCTCCCTCTTGACCTGCTCTATACAAGTCACACAACAAAACAAATATTCATTACAAAATGTCTGTTTGATACACTAATAACAAACCTGTCGTAACAATCACCATTTGTACCAATAGGAACATCAAAATCTACCAGATGGTACGCATCATAGGGTTGGGTTTTACGTAGATCCCATTTTATACCAGAACCACGCAACATAACACCACTAAAAAAATAAAGAAATATATTGATTCTACACCCACCAATATTTTATATTAAAATATCTTATTTCAAGATGCATTATGTAAGAGCTAAATCTAGAGCTAGATCTTTTTTCTAGCTTTAATGTTATATAAATTATTATTTAGACATTTATTCACACGAAAAGATTATAATCAACTGTCACCCCTGTTATTTAAAGATTTTACGATAATAAATGAGCTATGCTACATCTTCAAACAGTCATAACTTCGCTCAGAATAAAGTATTTTGACTGTCATTTTTTAATTATATATCTTTCAACTACGTGTATTATAGCAATAACGACCAGCTCTTTATCAAATATTAGATATAAAGGTCAGAAATAAACTAAAAAGTAATTGTGTTCCAATGAATTGCATTCTTTGTATAGCAGAATTATGTCAGTATTACATTTGGAATACAACCTATAGTACTTATACACTCAGTACAGTCAAAATATTATGCCCAATCTTTTTGTATGATTGGGCATATTCCTGGTCGTATGATTGGGCATATTCCTGGTCGTATGTTTGGAAAATCGTGTTTGGAATGTCCAGAATATGCCGACGAAGTAGCATCCATGGTTTAGATTGTGTCCAGGAATATTTACATTGTAATTCCAAAGCCACAAAGAAAAACATGTTTGTATGTTCCACCTCAATCACATTGTCTTAAACATCAACTGGTACCAGTATTGTCAAAATTAAATCAAACATTGCTCAAGTTAAAAAAAATTAACACATAATGAAATCTTTAAGTCAAGTTTTCCTTCTTTTGAAGGCTGTCTTAAAACTATTCATGGGATAAAAAAAAGGTTAATTCATTGACAGATGAAGTGAAATTTGTGGTCTAGGGGGAGACAACTCGTACCTAAAACCATAGTTGAGAGCATCTTCAGCTGAAATGACGCCGATGTCGATGGTTCTTGCTTTCCAGATTCTATTCTCCGTTAACACAGCATCAGTTTCATCTATTCTCTGACCAAATTTGGTGATAAACTCATATATATCATCCATTAAACCCAGTGGTAAATCCTGATTATACAATACAATAATACAAGGTATATAAATACAATGAAATGGAGGCAGGGATGTCACTAACATATCAAGTAACAGGAAATGTTGCTAAAGTAGGGGGCAGCAAATGTTGTTGAGGGCCGCATGCCCAAATCTGCGAGCAAACCGAAGGGTTGCGATTGTGTTATGGCGCCGGAAGCATGAAAGATGTTTTTTTTTCTTTCAGAAATTAGGCCTAAAATAAAACTTGTGGTGCATGCTGAACATTTCTATTGTAGATTGTTAAATACCTATATGCTAGGGAGATGATTTTAATAAATAAACTTTTGCTTGTTTTTATATCCTATTATTTGTTAATAATATTAATATGTGAATTCATGATGACCAATGTTATATCCAAAATTAAACCAAAACAAGTATGTACAGCAATGTAGAAAAGGCCAGGTTATTACACTAAAGACTATTAACTAGTGTTGCTATTTCAAAATTGTTCTTGTCGGACACATTTACCGAAAATAAAGGGGCATATAACTTTTGTCGTTATTTAAGCAGACGGATTCTGACTACAATAAAAAATCACTTGTCAACAAAATATCGTACGTAATAAAAATAGGTGCACCTCGCTATTTTTCAAATTTAATTCCCGTACGGTATTCAAATTTGTGCCTGTAATATTCCTACAAAATTACGTTTTTTCGTAATACTATAAAAAGAAAGCGGGCCGACCTGTACCTGCTTCATATTCATGCCAAAACATTTCTCCAAAATTACATGTCTTCGTTTAGACGACAGAACATGAAGGCAATACGTCCGTGTTGAGAATAGTTAGTGATGTCGAAACATCGTTTGTCTTCTTTATAAAACAGTATTTTAGAATTCCATCGGGGAAGCATCGACGCCAGCCTCAATGCAGCCATGCTCGCCATGTTATTGTTATTTGCCCACGTGACACCCTTTTTCCCGCCAAGATGAAACATCCTAGTTAGGCATTTAGAAAGCAATGCGAGCTCGCGGGAAATGCCATTTTAGCCGTGAAGTAGTTTGTTAAACAGAGAAAAATTAAACTGGCGTGTATTGTATGATAACAGTGCGTGCATCGGATGGATACATCTTTCCTATGATAAGAGCCTAAGTAATATTTTGTTGTCCAGTGAATCGAAAAGGATTAAAATATTGGGTGCCAGTTGGGAACATGTGGTCGATTCCTACGAAGGGAAATGGTTACAGATAAAACAATGTATACAATTAAAATTAGACTGTTGACATTAAGAATGAAAGAAATTACACATTTAGTGAAGTAGCCGTGCAGCTGGGCCAATCGACGTACTGTCGAAGTGTCGATACTAGGTAGATATGCAAAACTTGGCGCTTAGGAATTAGTTTAGGAATTAATATTACGCAAAATTATTTTATTAAAATTAAATTACTGATATTTTTTTAGCTGAAAAGTAGCCGGAAATTGGCCTAATTTAAACGGCGAAATTTGCCAGTTGCCGGCTTCTAATGACATCCCTGAATGGAGGTGTAACAATCCTACTTTTCTACAACAACCTGGCTAATGGACAGAAATGCTTTATGAACTGTCCTATCAGGGTATTGTGTTCATTGTACAACAGGTTAAAAATAATTTAAACAATAAGAACATTTTTTAATCAAGTTTTCTCTACGTTAAAGACTGTCTTTAGATTTTCCAAGGGACAGAAAAATGTTAACTGATGTAGTGAGATTTATGGTCTAAGGGGAGATAACTTATGCCTATATTTGATAAACAGCACTGAATTTTCCTTTATTCAACTTTCTTTGATTAAAAAAAAACAACACAAAGTATACCTGATAAACACCACCTGGTCTGACGTAAGCAGCGTGCATTCTAGCTCCTGATACTCTCTCATAGAACTCCATCATCTACAATTTCAAATAAACATTACACTCTTATACAGTAAACAAACATTACGGTCTTCTAAAGTAAACAAACATTACACTCTCTCTTGTAAAGTAAACAAACATTACACTCTCTCTTGTAAAGTAAACAAACATTACACTCTCTCCTGTAAAGTAAACAAACATTGCTCTCTTATAAAGCAAACAAACATTGCTCTCTTATAAAGCAAACAAACATTACACTCTTGTAAAGTAAACAAACATTACTGTCATGTATAGCAAACATTAGTTACACTTTTGTATAGTTAACAGTCTCTAACTTCTTGTGCAGTAAACTGTCATAACACTGGCATACTGGCATTACATTCTTGCACAGTAAAGTGTCATTACACTTTCATATAGTTAAAGGCTCAATACCACTCTTGTTGTAACTGAATAATATGTCCCAATCTTTATTCTGGTCAACAAATTGTACTATTTTAGAATATTTCAATTAATTGATGATACAAATTTCATCTTAACACACCTTATTTAAGAATTTTGAAAAATTCAACATAATGGTTTGAAACGTCTAACGTAAACCTTTTCAAATGAAACTTCGATTTAAAAATATTTTCGAACCCTCTGGACAAGTAAAAAAGGATGTAATGGATAATTTACACAACAGGTAGAACACTTAAACATCTAGTACTTAGATAGAGATATTATTTATTTTCTCGAGCTTTCAAGCCAGCAAGAGTGTTATTGTCCCTTTAACAACCATTACACTCTTGTACAATTCATAGTTTAACCATATAATTTTCATACAGTTACAAATACTCATAGTTATAAATTTTCACGTTACAGATTTTTTGTGCTATCAATTAATCAATATCAAAAAGTTAGTACCAGGGCTTGCCACGAGCAAATTGGAGGCGAGTAGATGACTACTCACGCAAATATAGACTGGCGCGAGTGAGGCGAGTACATGTATTTACTCACGCAGAATGATGTGCGTGAGTAGCCATTTAAATTTCATGTGCCTAATGTCAATGCTCTTGTCACTTCGGTGGAAGCGGACGTTGAATAAAGCTATTTCACACACAAAGGCAATGCATACTCTTTTATTTCCTTGGCAGTAATATTATCTGTAAATCGTCTTCCCATGACAATAACGTTGCAAGGGAAACTGGGTTTCCCTTTGCCATCGTTGGCGTGCTGAGGGGATTCGGGTAAAGCTTAGAAAGGTAAAAGAACAGGCAAAACAATTTCAATCCCATCAATTTGTAGAAAAGATGCGGGATCGAAAGAATTGCTATTAATAGAAACGACAACATCCGCTCAATGTTTGATTATCCAGACACAGCAAAGGACATCCGCTTAAAAACCGCCTGGCAGTACGCATCTCAAAGTATTTTTAGTAACAACAGTTGGAACTGGAAAGACACGCCGCGTGCGCAATAGTGCATCAATATGAAGGCATACAAATTGTTTACAGCTTTTTATATTACGATATTCAATTATTTCTGATTAAATTATTTTTTATATTTGCGCGAGTACTTAATCACTCACGTAAATTTGGTTTTACGCGAGCGTAGCGTGCGCGCGAGTAATTACTCGTGTCTCGTGGCAAGCCCTGTAGTACTGTTATACTATTTTGTAATGTGGTTTTACTCTGTTTCACATCTGTCATATACAGAAAAACTAAATAAAACTGTTGATTTTAATTGAATTGAAGCAGAATAAATACTTCTTAAAAGTCTCAGCATATAGAAATTAAATGTCGGTGAACTAACTTAGTGTCTGTTCTCAAGTGGTACAAATTGTAGACAGACAGCGTATAGAAATGGGGTTTAACTTCTACTCGACACAAACTAGGTCATGTGGGAACTAAGATATGGTTTAATTTTATTTCAATAATTCGTTTGCACGTGTGATCTTTAGCAGTGGGAGGAAACCGGACGACAAGGCGAAAACCCACGAGGTTGGACAGGCGACCCTACTCCTTGTCAAGTACAACTGGGAAATCGAAACCACGCCAGTTGACTCAATGATAGACCATATGATACAGCTCGCACGTGCTCAGCATCCACCACCTACAGACAGCATAAGTTTAGTATGTCAACAGAACTGTGTTCAGTATACGGTATTGATCAAAATGATATATCTTACCTTTTCTCTTTCTTCAAATAACCAGAAGAAAGGTGTCATGGCTCCAACATCCAGGGCGTGGGTACCAATAGACATAATGTGATTTAATAGTCGAGTAATCTCACCAAATAAAGCTGTAAATAACACAACAATATTGCTAAAACAACTTTACGCAACATAAACTAGGTCATTTTCGGACTAACAATTAAGAATGCTGCCTCCCTAATGACTAAGGGCTACAATTGCGACAATATTTCTAACTTTCAATCAATATCCTTAAAATGTTTAGGTTTAAGCTTTGGTGAAGCGGGTCTCTGAGACATCTGATCAGATAAATTAGTGAATACTGTGAGTTATAGTTGAAGTCAGAATTCAAATATGAGACTTCATAATGCTGACTATAGTTGAACAAAGTCACTTCAGTTAAAATCAAAGTTGTCTCTGACTATCAAATCTAGATTATTTTTGCACATTTTTGTTTGATTGGAGTTTTGTACATCAAGACCAGCACATGTCACTTTCTGTGAGCAAAGATTACTTTTAATATGCGCAATATATTTTACTGGATTTATGCAGATTGTAGGGATCATTAGAAGTGGGAGGAACACATCAGTAATGTACAAGCATGGGATTGACACCACGACACTCGACTCGTTCACAGACCACATGATCTACAAAATTAACATGTGTAAAATTAAAGAATCCCCGCCAAACAGAACCAGCAACAGACTTGTAGATTTAAAAGATCTTTATATCAATCCAACGTTTCGGGTGCAATACCCTTTTTCAAGAATGATTTTTTGTGAATCCTGTGACGCCTTATATACAAACAAAAGAGATGACGTCACAGGATTTTAAAATTTATTAATGTACAATGATTGGTTTGAAAGAAAAGGATCGTTAAAATTAAGGATTGTTAAAAATGAGGATCGTTAAATTTATTTGTATGTACAAAAAGGATTTTTAAAAATTAAATTAAAGATTGTTAAATAAGTAAAATTATCAATATAATTATAAAAATAAGTAAAGATTTAATATTTTAAAATAACAAAGAATAGGTCGATTATCGCGGATTTAAATAAAATAATTATCATTGATGTCTTCTAGGATGGCTGTGGCTACGGCTGTTTCTTCTTCTTTTTCTTTGCTGTTGTTGTTGGATGGAACTAAGAATGTTTATAGATTGATGATAATTATGGAGTGATTTAAAATGAATAGTAGATAATGTACTCCAGGATGGCTGAGGCGGTGGTTGTTTCATCTTCTTCTGTATTGATAGGATAAGTTGATACGTATAGTCTCGGTCATCCGGAACCTCCTAGTCTTCAAACGTGCAGAGGAGGAATAAAAGACTAGAATACGTAAGGGGTTTGCTACGATCGGACTGAAGGTTGTGTGGTTAGCGGAGTATAGAGTTAAAAGGAGTAATTACGTAGCTTTTGGATCGTGAAATCGGTGATAATGATGAGTGGTGGATCATATTCAGGTTAAATAGATGGGTTGTTGGTCACCTCTATGAAATATAGTTTCTGTAGTTAGAGGGCCACGGGAGAAGGATATACTAAGTGAAGATAAGGTAGTTGAGGCTTAAAGGCGAGGTTGTACGAAAAACAGTTTATCTAGAATCTAGCGTAAAAAAATGAATGCTGTAGAATTAGGGTGTCGATTACATGTAGGTTTTAAATAGATATTCCTCGATCTGGTACATATTGGTGATATTTATTCTTCTTCGGGAGGAAAATATGTTTTCTAAATAAAATCCAAGTGTGTGTTGATTTATCTTCCTTTCAATAATTGGCGAGGATTCTAGTTAGTACTTTTCAGAATTCTTGATGTGCGGCTTTCCAGAGTATAAGTTGTTTGGAGGGAAAAGTCGGAGTAAATTTATTCTGGCTTAATCCAAGTATGTTTTTCTTTCTTTCCAATAGTTGGATAGGCTTCTCGTGAGTGCTTTTCCGAAATCTTGATGTGCGGCTTCCCAAAGTATAAGATATTTGGAGGGAAAAGTGGGAGTCTGTGGAGTTAGTTTATTGTTGCTCAAACCCTTAGGTATGAAGCGATTGGTGATACATTTCTCTAAATATTAAATCTGTTGTTCGCATTTGAATAGACCCGTTCGAATTTTGCGGTAAGTTTTGAGGTACGGGATAGCGTTTTCTGGAAGACGTTTGTTGTTGAAATTAGTGGTTGAGACGAAAATATCTGGCTCATCGGCTGTTTTTCTCTTTTTGTTGAAGTTGTCCATTAGCAGTACTAAATAGATGGAAGGCGGCTAAAAAAGCTCAAAAATTTCCTAGAGGAGTGGATCTAAAAAAGATGCTCGCCGTGCCTGGAGAGAGTAAATGTATCACCAATCGCTTCATACCTAAGGGTTTGAGCCACAATAAACTAACTCCACAGACTCCCACTTTTCCCTCCAAATATCTTATACTTTGGGAAGCCGCACATCAAGATTTCGGAAAAGCACTCACGAGAATCCTATCCAACTATTGGAAAGAAAGAAAAACCTACTTGGATTAAGCCAGAATAAATTTACTCCGACTTTTCCCTCCAAACAACTTATACTCTGGAAAGCCGCACATCAAGAATTCTGAAAAGTACTAACTAGAATCCTCGCCAATTATTGAATGGAAGATAAATCAACACACACTTGGATTTTATTTAGAAAACCTATTTTCCTCCCGAAGAAGAATAAATATCACCAATACGTACCAGATCGAGGAATATCTATTTAAAACCTAATCGACACCCTAATTCTACAGCATTCATTTTATACTCTAGATTCTAGATAAACTGTTTTTCGTACAACCTCGCCTTTAAGCCTCAACTACCTTATCTTCACTTAGTATATCCTTCTCCCGTGGCCCTCTAACTACAGAAACTATATTTCATAGAGGTGACCAACAACCCATCTATTTAACCTGAATACGATCCACCACTCATCATTATCACCGATTTCACGATCCAAAAGCTACGTAATTACTCCTTTTAACTCTATACTCCGCTAACCACACAACCTTCAGTCCGATCGTAACAAACCCCTTACGTATTCTAGTCTTTTATTCCTCCTCTGCACGTTTGAAGACTAGGAGGTTCCGGATGACCGAGACTATACGTATCAACTTATCCTATCAATACAGAAGAAGATGAAACAACCACCGCCTCAGCCATCCTGGAGTACATTATCTACTATTCATTTTAAATCGCTCCATAATTATCATCAATCTATAAACATTCTTAGTTCCATCCAACAACAACAGCAAAGAAAAAGAAGAAGAAACAGCCGTAGCCACAGCCATCCTAGAAGACATCAATGATAATTATTTTATTTAAATCCGCGATAATCGACCTATTCTTTGTTATTTTAAAATATTAAATCTTTACTTATTTTTATAATTATATTAATAATTTTACTTATTTAACAATCTTTAATTGAATTTTTAAAAAACCTTTTTGTACATACAAATAAATTTAACGATCCTCGTTTTTAACAATCCTTAATTTTAACGATCCTTTTCTTTCAAACCAATCATTGTACATTAATAAATTTAAAAATCCTGTGACGTCATCTCTTTTGTTTGTATATAAGGCGTCACAGGATTCACAAAAAATCATTCTTGAAAAAGGGTATTGCACCCGAAAAGTTGGATTGATATAAAGATCTTTTAAATCTACAAGTCTGTTGCTGGTTCTGTTTGGCGGGGATTCTTTAATTTTATCTATTCTACTACTCCGCCCCGCCGGCATCATTTTTTGATCCAGATCCTACGCAGATGTACCAGCCTGTCCAGCTTTTCTACTTATTCAAGGGAGTGTTGCCGTACCCCTCCTCGTTTTCCAAAATTAACATGTGTTTAAACAACTCAGCCAGGATGGAGCTCAATGGAACAATCCCTTCCATCCCCAACTATATATCTGAACAATGGAAGTTAACACTTACTTCTAATGTATTTAGCTCGGAGAGGAATTTCAATATTTAGTAGTTTCTCCACGGCTAGGGAATAGCACTGTTCATTACACATCATAGATACATAGTCTAAACGATCGAAATATGGTAACGCCTGAAACATAGATACATTGTCTAAATGGTCAAAGTCTTAGAACTAGTAAAGACATTTATGTGACTCGCCCTGTTTGAGGTACTAGAGCAGTGGTTCTCAACCTTTTTTTGGCAACGGCACACCTTGGAACACATGAAAAAATAGCGGCACACCTGGCTAAATATATACGAAAAATATTTGAATTTTGCAAAATAAATACATGGCAAATCCATTGATGGCATACAACCGTAGACACAGACTAGTCATAGAAACATAGAATGACTCAAACTAAATAAAGAAGAACACAGCTATAAATGTACCAGTAGACACCAGTGCAAACTCAATTGGGATGCAGTGGCTTTTCGCATTTCCTTAGTTTGCCTTTCAAAATTTTGCAGCACACTGTCAAAGATCTTGCGGCAAGACAAGCGGGGAATCAAAACAATGTCACTTGACTCAAAGACAGACCTTATGATCTAGTGTGCATGCGTTAAACCATCCATCATCTCTCAAAAAACAGTAATAACTTGTGAACCATTAACATGACAAGAAGATGTATATTACCTGCTGGTATGTTTTATATTCTATCAGTTTCTCCGTGGCACGATGTAGCAGACCAATATGAGGATCAGCTCGTACAACAGTCTGTAAAATATACAACATGATAAGCTAATTACTTGTACCTTATACTGTGAATCATTCATTGATGTTGTTTTATCCAGACCTATATTTGTTGTAATTGAAGCAGAGAAATCTGGGGCTGGAGGACCAAGACCAAAGGTAAATTGACAACGTAGTGTACCAGTAAGCAGCTAATCCGAGTCAAACGATGTGGATGTGTTCGACAACCAGTGTATAGCTTAGACAGATACACCTGTGCGAGACCAAACAATTAGAAGATGTGGTCCACAGTTGAATTGCCTTTTCTATTTTACCACCAAGTAATTAAAAGACAACTGAGGCTTTTCCATCAAGATCAATTTAGTGGCAGCATTAATTAAATGGACTGGCGTGAGGAACAAAAATTATCTAAAAAAAAAAAAATAACCAAAAAGGCCTACATGTACTTAGCCAAATTCACACAAATGTTACATAAGTACTTGTCATTTAAACCTAATAAAGTCAATATGGATGTGCCATGGAGGTTCTCCTTTAATGTCATAATTATTGGTCTTGACTGAATGGCAATGAAATGGAGATTCAAGAAGTTACCCATTTACATGCCATAAAATTAAGAATTACAAAATTTAACCTTCAACTATAATAAACACAGATTTATAGTTCTTTATGTACCCCTGATACGAGATGAGAACCTCACCCCTAATAAGAGATGAGAGCCCCTCTGAGATCCCTACCTCAGAAGAGTCCTGCCTATGATAGGAGAAACCAGGACCTGATGTGAGAGCTCTGTCCTTAATGAGAGCCCAACCCTTAATATGAGATTAAGAGCGTGTCCGCAAGAAAAACATGCAGAAGGTGCTAAGGCTTCAATCACACACAGATTTTGACCAAATTTGGTTTATAAGTTGGAATAGTCCCAAAACACATAAATGTGCAATATTAGATAAATCTTTCAATTCCTGTATGAGAAAATTGAAAAAACATTTTTCATATGGTGAAATTGCCAAAATCTGTCTTTTCTCAAATACCAACTTTGGCAAGTCCTTACACCTTTACTATACGTAGCAGAAAGACCAAACTCACACAGTTTATCGATGACTCAGTGCCGTTACCACAATATTAACTTCAGACGATTCTGGCGAACGAGATCTGTATACGGACTGGATATCAAAGCTTGTCTAAATTCCCCATTTTTCGTCACCCAAAGTTTGACGCCCTATAGCTACTTCTTTCCTGGGGTGGGTTTAAAAAATTGATGCTCACGTGAACAAGCAACCTCCCAACATTTGATACAAAAAATAAAAATGATCGGAATCGACTTGACAAAAACTAGGTAAAGGAAACAATAACCCACGAAATTAATCTGTAATTTCCCTATTTTGGAGATAATTAACCGTAGTAGATAAAAAAAAAACTAACAATTTATTTTCCTTTTCATTCATATGGTGTTTACTACCAGCCCTAAAATACATTAGTATCTGTTTTATAAAAATATCTTGAAAAAAAATACTTTCAAAGGCCTGTAATCGTTCATGGCTCATCTGGCGTCGACGGGAATTGACTTCCGCAGTTGTCCACGACCTTCCATTGGAGTTTCGACGTGCTCAATCTTAACAAACATATCCATTACTCTCAAATAGACATTATTTTAAATAAAATAATCCAACGAAAATGAAAAATTCACCTAAAAGTGAGATTCGAACCACCAACCCCATGACTTCCCCCGACCCAATCTCTCACCGTGGGCCCTGTTCAGGGGGGTTGCCTAGGGCTTCTCTTATTCTAAATCCGGCCCTGAAGGTGCAGCTGATGGTGCCCGAGAGCTGTAGCTACCATACTACACTGTTCAATGTCACCCACTTCGACGCAATTAGGCTTCGTTGCCGTTAATATTTAAGCTTCCACATTTCTGTATTGTAGAAATCAGTGGATGTGTCCCAAAATGAATAGTGGAAACATGCTCTGAAATTAAACATTTTGTAGCCATTTTCGGTAACTTGTTTGAAAATGAAATCTTAAAGAGACAATACAACAACTATGTTAAAGGGACAATACGACAATACCAAATATACAATAAATACAAATACACACTTATATAGAGTACAACATGGTACAAATAATGGCTATGGATATGATGAAAACGTATTAAAGTCAAAAAATTTATTTCTCTAATTAAATTTGCAAAAAAATGTATCACAAAAGCTTATTTTTAGCACTTTTCAATAAGCTGTATATTTTAAGTATGTTGCATTCTGTCATTTTTTTTACACCTATGGATACTATGTGCTTAGCACTTTAAAACCATCCAATGAAAGTCTACTTGCGACCATGAAAGAAAAAGTTACAGTGTATTTTTTTCTGCACTATAAGGACAATGTGAATATGGTACCCTAAAACAAGTCCACACAAAATTAGTATGTACTGATTTTTTTTTCCAAATTAGTGCTGGGGTAGAAGTTGACCACCCGCTTTATCAGACAGGGTCAAAATTAGAAGGTTGCTATTCCACCATAGAATGCAGTCTGTGCTTAAAAAGGGTAATAAATACACATGTGAAAACCGCAATTTTACCCATAAAATGAATAATTCCTGTACAGTCCTTTAGAGCGACATCAGCCTGTAACCACTTCAGCATGTTACCTCTTGCCCCTAGGGGGTGTCATACCATAAGTTTGATCAAAAACTTCCGACCCCCCATCTTAGCACTTTTTGCGATTTTTGCATGGTCTTCTCGCGGATACACTCTTAAAGCCTAGACCCTGATATGATAGCAATGTCCTTAAAATGAGAACCCCACCCCTGACATGAGATGATATCCCCCCACCCATGATATTATGTTTACCTCTCCGTCTAGAGTAAGTACAAGACGTAGTACACCATGAGCTGCTGGATGTTGTGGACCAAAGTTTAACACCATATTCTGAATATGTTTCTCTGTCACGATAGCATTTTCTAAAAATACAAGTTTATTCAAATATACAAGATACAAAAAAATACATACACTGCATTGACGATACATCTTAATAATATTTTTTAAAAGTCATTTTGAGTGATTGACGAATTCCTTGCAAATATTGGATTGTAAGAGTTGAATCTCTAAAAGAAATAACAGTATCAGTCTAAAAATGATGGAATTCCATTACGTATTTACATACATGTAGATCTGACCAATTAAGAATTTGTCGTCATGCAGTTTCCCCTGCAGACAATATAGACATATACGAAAGAGAGGGAGAGATAATACATATTATGAAGTAAGGCTGGGAATCGATATGAAATTTCAATATCGATTATCGGCAAGAATTTGTCAGCGATTATCGATAATAATCGATTATCAATCATTCTTCCTGAAAAACCGAACTTTACCAACCTGTTATTTGTGTTGATCGAGTTACAGTAGTGTTATTATCCTAGTCTAATACTGTGCCGATGTACGTAAAAAAATTAATTAATGTAAAATAATTAGTTGCTAAATGTAGGATTAACTTGAGTATTATTCTAAGTTTTGTTCTTGATTCATTTGAATCTTTTTTTTATTCCAATATCTCCAATAAATACAAAGACAATACATGGTTTCTCTTTGCAAGTTACTGGCGATCACACAGTCCTACTAATAATAGAATAAAATATAATAGAAGGCGTCTATTGATTGGACAATAAAAAAAATAATTACCGGCTTTCAAAGTAGAATTTTTATGATTGGTTAATTTTGACGAAAACCAAAGTAGAATTCTTCCAAGAAATTACGAGAGATATAGATATTTTCCCGGGAAGTCAAAAACGTGTTTTGTATGGGCTGTATCTGACATGATTTAGTAATAAAAGCTGAGTTGATCATTAATAATACAATTAGTTTTATCGTGAAAGCAGACGATTTCTCTACAAATCAATCAAGAGCAAAGAAGGGAGATAATTCTAATTTTACTATATCACATGCGATTGTCATTGTTCACAAAGTGCGTGACCTATTTTAGTTTCAACTAGTAATAACAACAAAAACAACGAAAATATTAAAATAAGGCTGACCTTAAAAATATCTTTGTTTCGACTAACGCGACAGACTAACTAAAACCACCCCCGACTTAAATTATTTTATTGCACTTTTCCGCGATCTTTTTATTTTATTTTGTGTGTCAACCTGAAATATATCACGAGAGTTATTTCCCTTTACTATGGCTGTGGTTTGATTCATTATTGAAACTGGTTGATCAAGACGAAAGCGTCATAGGTGTCGCTTCTCAACAAAATGGTTGCAGACGAAAGCACGTCCATTCCCACGAAATGATTCTGCCTCTATGTCTGTGGGGCGTTGTTTTAAACATGACGACGATATTTTCAATATCCGTTTTCGAGAAAAATGAAGGCACAACCCGCACGATCGTTAAAAACGTGTTGAGGGAGTTTCAAACGTGAGTTTGTGGCAATTTGTGTGCGAGTCGTGCATCAAGAAAAATCCCGATGTCATTGATTTGTTTGCCAATAAAAGAAGACAAATGTTTGCACCCAGAAAATTATCAAGCTGTCAAATTAGCTCTTAAAAAAAAAATCTGAAAAAAAAAACCGACCTACCGACCCTTCTCCTCGATTGTGGGTCGGGTTTGGTGAAACAAAGATATTTTTAAGGTCAGCCTAATGTATTTAATCTTAAAGTTTAGTTTTTTTGCAATAATATATATTTAAAATGTGCCAGTTTGTAAGCAGAGGGGGAAAATAGTTGTTGTGTTGACGTTGTGTATTCGTTCATTCGTCTGCATGCCAGACTACGGCAAGTTCAGTCATTTGAATTTCAATATCGATTATCGTATCGCTAAATAACTTCTACCGATTATCGATTATATCGATATTTTTGCACAGCCTTATTATGTAGACAGCTGTAATCTTCGCTACAATGTTTTTGATGGGCCTCTGTGTAAATCAATTGAATCTACAGTTGATATTTTGATTTCTTAATTAAATGTTACAAGTAAATGCTCAATCGAAGTAAAATTTTATCGCTGATTAAGCAGTGGAAAATTTGATATTTTTTGTGAAGGATGCAAATGACACACAAGATCTTATAGCAAAGATCTAATAGCCTACTAGAAATTCACCGGCTCAAAAGAACCATTCACAAAAGAAATTCAGTCAACATTATAAACACTAACAGGCGAAATATTATCAATTTGGATAAAAAAATTGACAGAGAAATACAACAGTTTTGTTAATCTTTAAGGATTTAAATATCTGTTTAGGAATTAATTCAGGCCCTCAAGCAGAACACTACTCTTGTTATAATTTTGAGAATTATATATCCTACCATTATGTGCAGGTGATTGTCTATATGATGATTCTTCACATGGATACATGACGGGTTGAGTCCACATCTCAAAATGTTCCTTATCTGGGTACCATTTACTGCCATTACGACTACAAAAATATAAAATTAAATAGGGTTAAATGCAAGGGTTCCACGTCGGCTGTATATGCTGGTCAAGACCTAGGGCTACGGAAAATGACCATAACTGGATCTGACCCATCGGTCATTTTGCACGCCCGAAAAAGAGCCGTTACTGATCTAGCACGGCATGAATCTTTTGTGGATGAAATTTTCAACACCATTCATTTACGACCCTTTACATGTACATGTGCTAAACAAATTCTAATCGCCGACGACATCTTTCATGTTGATGTCACGTGGTCTGAATTACCTTGCTGTAATTTTGTCCACCTTGGTTAAAATCACACATACATGTAACTAACTACATAAATGCATGTAGAAAAAGCCCTATTTATTCATCCTGTTCTGAACATTCACAATAGTATTTAATAATGTTTTATTGTGCAGAAATTGCTGTGAATACGAGACAGACGTAAGCGCACGATGTCAAACTTTCAGTTTTGCAAAGTGGCAGTTTTGATTAATTACGTAATATATGTCGAACTTAGAGCATTGTTTTGATCATTGTAAAATTTATTTAATATCGAAAATCATGAATATTACAATCAGACAAAGCATTAGAAAGACGCGGCCATAGTAGTCACATTTTCCAGACACATGACCAATATTTCCACGCATTTATTATGTATAGTTTAATGGTCAAGAGTGAGAGTAATTAAGTAATATATTGATACTGCACGCGGTAGAATTTTACCATATGTTAGTACCGAAATGACCTACATTGTAATATGTGTTGAGTGGACGATAAGCCTCATCTCTACTGATAGATAACAAACCTTATCTCTCAACCTTCGGTGTTTCGAGATAAGAGATGGTGCTATTAATTTCAACGTAGCAGATGCGGGAGCGATTCGCACCCAGCATTTGTAAACAAAATTGACAATATTTTAAATCAAAACAACGATTGATTATTGTTATTTATAATATTTCTGCCACACCCAACTACAATTAAGCATATAATCCTATCTGAAACAGGTACAAATCCCCTCTTTTTAAATCAAAGCGACAGTAGATTGCTTTTTCAGACATTTTAAATTTACGTCTGTAACACATAAAGGCAGGGCCTCGTGTGCAATAGCCAATCAAAGTACTAATCTGATCAGAGTTGCGCAGTAGTAATACGCCGTAATTATGAACGTCCAAATTAATTTTGATAAAAAAAACGCTTAGTTTACTATATTGTCAATATTTGCTGATAAATGAATGTTGTTTCAGTAGATTGGACTGTGTATGTGTAATAAGTACTAATAGTATAAAATTAACTTATTTTTAAGATGGTACATGCATTAATAAAGAAATTGAGTTTGCCACTTGGAAGTCAAAGCATCCAATCGTAGTTAAAAACAAGCACATCAGTAGGCCTATAGTATATCTCAGCGTTTTTAGTTACATGTACGTTCTCGTAGCTACTCTACTGACTGTAACGAGACCAATGTTCAGAGCAGAACTATTCCTACAAGAACTAGTGCAACATAGATTTGGTGAATGATTGACAGATCCTGGTTTTTAGTTTTATTTATCAAATAATGAGAAACGGTTGAAAATTTTAATAATATTCATTACATAGGGTGATTAGCTTCAAGCTATGAAACCAAGACAAGTCAAGGACGTTTTCAGTTATGAAATGCTCCAACTTTAACTGCATGAAAACAATAACTCTAGCAAAGAGCAAAAGCGCACTTTAAAAGTTTTATTAAATTCTACATTTAGAAATTTGAATACCTGGCTTGGTAAATTGGAGAAACATTTCTAAATGATGTTCTTTGCAAAATTACAGAGGCACTAGGCCCCACTTTCCCAAACAACCTTCCAAGAGCAGCCATGTTTCACTCACCCATGCGCAATAGGGAAGACGTTTCGTATCAGGCTGTTTTTCTTAAGAAGATGTTTCGCACCAGTGACTTTGATCTGTATAAATGTTTTATTGGAATTTAGTTATTGAACTGGAATATACTGGATGGAATTGTGACGTGCACATTTGATCTGTATGTTACGGGATTGGTGTACAGATTAATGCACTAACAGTAGTATATTTTATTATTCTGTTGCTAAAGATACTTTGGGCTTCTTTTTGCTTTTGTTTGCTTTTGTTTGTGTGTATATGTGTCAGGTATCTTCTTCCGTTAATATAAAGTGATATTCGATTTGACGAGATATGACATGACATAGACTTTATTAGAGATGTTCAAATTGGATTGGATTGCATGCTGTCAACTTGAGAGGCGCAAAATCTTTAAAGGAGCTAAATCGCTAATATATATTTGGGACCAAGAAATTGACACAAATATTGCATTCTGTCAACTTGAGAGGCCCAAATCTTTAAAGGAGCTAAATCGCTAATATTTGGGACCTAGAAAATGACACGAATGGTCCGCAATGCATATATTTTAATGTAATATGAATGTATATAAACTGATTCACATTCATTCGTTTCCGTTTTTACTCCAAATCAGTCATGTTCGGCAAAATACGCCAGAAGTCTCAATCATAAGAATATGGCGTCCCGTTTGACATGACATGTGGAATATGTCTAGCCTCGTTCTATGTGTCTCTTGTTACAAATGGCGCTGAAACGCATAATGATACACGATTCGTGTACCAATAGTAAAATGTTTACTTTGTCTTAAATATTGAATGTCAGAAGCCCATCTTTTCCCGGTAAGATAACAACATCAATATTGATGTAAATTGACAAATAATTCGTGGTTGCAATGACGAAGACTTTGGATGACATTGTGTTAGAGACTTAGCTACTTTAAGTGGGTGTCTAGTGCGTCTTTTATTGGTTTCTGACGACCACCGAAGGCACCTTAACCACAATCGAAAAGTTATTAAATGGTCCTAAAACAATTTATATAGTATGATCGAACTCAGGGGATGACAGAAAAATATATTCACATATTAAGTAGATGAACAGATATGGGAAAGAAGAAGAGAATTGGGGCTCCCCCACCCTCTCTCTCTCTCTCTCGTTTGAAAATAAATATCCCCATCAAACTCTCGAGAGACAAATTGTACGTCATTGTCACATAACAAGTTATTGGGGAAACCCTCTCGAGCAAAAATGGTATCTAAAAATTCAATTATGTGAGCAGTTGTAATATTGTATTGTGGACATAAAACTTATTTCGGGCCATTTTGAATAATGATCAATCAAGGAGGTAACAGCATACCGGCAAGGTAAAGGAGCAGTTTGAAATGGACCCACAATGTCAATTGAAATACGGTTCCATGGTCCTTTTGGGTAAGATATTGGCGTTAAAGAAGCAGTACGTGGTGTGGCAGTTTCATAATGAGTTTGACAAGTAACACACGATTGAATGGCAAGTTCAACAGACGCATCCATCTTTGGCCACCAATAAAGTAAACGAAGGCGTTGTTTCGTACTCACGATTCCCTAGTGACTTTCATGGACCAACTCAATCAAGCGACATTGTAATGCAACAGGTACACCAACGCGGTTTCGAACATTATAAAATAGTAATAAGTCAGCAGACACATCTTTCTTATACTTGCAGGCCATCCATGTAAAATCCTGTGTCGTACAGTAGCAAACAACGGACACTCAGTACTTGCATTCTTTAATTCAGATAAAGAAACAGCATGTAGGTCAATAGCAATTAAGGCAATCATCGAAACGATCTTCATCCGTATCGGAATTAGGTAAAGGAATTCTAGACACGCAATCAGTAACTGTGTTGTCAATTCCTTTTTGAAATTGAATGTTAAACGTGTAAACCATTAGGCGCACAGCCCATCTACAAATACGCATACTTCAAAGGCTGAGGATCAGTGGGTAGAGTAAATTTACGTCCCCATAAGAACATACGCCATTTTTTAAAACCTAAACACACGCTAGGGCCTAGCTCCTCGATAGTAGAGTAACGGCGTTCACAATCAGATAATGGCCTGGACGCAAAAGCGATAGTATGTTCGCTATTGGTTCGTAATTTGAAGCATCTGTAGATACATACGTAGGCAATGTAGAATCGTAAGAAGCAAGAACAGGACTAGCAGCAATGAGTCCTTTTAGTTTCTTAAAACTGGCATCAGCAGATTGATCCCAAATAAAGTTTGTGCCATTACGTGCTAAGCGTCTTAAAAGTTTGGTGAGAGAACTAAAGTTAGGTACAAATCTTGAGTAATAAGTAGCAGTACCAAGGAAAGAACGAACAGCAGTAGCATCCTTGGGTGTAGGTGCAGCAATAATAGTCTGAACAAGGTCATCTTTAGGAGGAATTCCTGAGGCAGAAATCACATGACCAGAAAAGTTGATACTAGATTGACGTAATTTGCATTTGTCAAGGTTCAGTTGTAAGTTAACAGTTTCTAAGCGTTGTAACACTGTAGTAAGGTGTTCATCGTGTTCAGTTATATTACGGCCATAAATAGCAATATCGTCTAAAATACATTTAATACCAGGTAAGTTATTAAGCACAGACGATATTGATCTTTGGAAAAAGGAGCAGCAGAACAAAGTCCAAAGGGTAGAGATCGATAACTGTACATCCCTTCGTGTGTAATAAAACAAGTAAGATTTCGGCTAGAATCACCGAGCGACATTTGACGATAGGCATCCTTTAAATCAATAAAGAAAAGATTGATGCATCTTGAGATGTGTTACTGGTAGGTAGCAATTCCGTATCAATAATATTGCATCAATGTTTTGTAGTAACTTTACTGTCAGATATACAAATCTTCGCTAAATGCCCAATTTTACCACATTTCGAACATACTACAGTCCTTGCAGGGCAGACCGGGTCATTAGCAAGATGCTTAACGGAATTACATCGGAAGCAGGCAGTAGGTTTATTCTGAGTAGGAGGAGAATTTTCTTCTTAAATTTCTCTGGTTTTGTAACTGAAGGTCATTTAACATCAAAACGTGTCTTAGGTCGTGCACCACTTACAGAATCAACATCTCCGTGGAATGTCGAACCACTCAGCAGTTTTGATTTTCGTATACCAGCTTCAGTTGAACGAGCAATTGTTCATGGTTTTTGCAGGGTAAGGGAAAACCGCTATCAGTAAACGTTCACGAATACGTGGGACAACAGTTTTCTGTATCAACTGGTCGTCGATCATTTCTTCACTGAAGGCACCATAATCACATGTAGCTACAATTACAAACTGATCAACAGTCTCACCGGGCTGTTGGCTTCTGGAACGAAATAATTTGTAACGTTCTGCAACCAAATTCACTTGGGGTTGAAAATGGGTACGTAAGGCAAGCAAGGATTCTTGAAAGCTTTCACCAGGCACTGGTATGGTGTAATAATGCGTTGACCTTCTGTTCCAAGCGCATGAACAAGCAAAGTTTTATTCTTGCAATCAGGAAGGTTTTCGGCAGAAATAACGTCCATGTAGGCCTACCATAACCATGTAGTTCAGAAATATTCTCTCCCAGATTCTCCAATCAATGACAGGTTTTTCCTGGCGATTCTAAAAATGGTGTATTCTGTGACAGCGTAGGCAAAGGCATGGAAGTTTCATCAATCACCGTAAGTGGCGAAAACAAATCCCGATCGAACGGCGAACCAGGCGGGTTTTCCGAACGATATGGCGTAGAAGATGCCATGATTCCGTAGGTATTGGCAGCAAAAGAGTTTACCTCGTCGCAAAAATGTTGTACCGGTATCGTAGATGTCTGACATTGTAGCAGGCATAGTAGTAAATAATAAAAAAAACACAACGCATTATATTGTGAGTGAGTTAGATAGTTCATTGGCCAATCACGCTATTTTACCGACATTTCGCCTAATAGTTTGGATGCAGCTATGGCTGGTGTGGCCCCAGGCAGGGTAAGCTTACTCTTCCGGACACCTGTTACCACTGTTTGTCGTGTAGGCCTATTTTGAACACGAGGAGCAGTCCATTTGCTGCTTGCACTATTTTGCTTGAATACACTATTTTGCATATAACGTTTTTTAGGACTTCGAATTCTGTCTTATGGTTTGGATTGTTCGTTACTTGGTTTTATTTTATTTAGATGCATTTTACGTCCGCTTCCACCGAGGTGATATCGTAGACAAGCGCATTATATTTTCAGTCAAACATTTTCATAGCATATGGCGCAGACTACTTTTTTAACAATATATTCATACACAACAAAATAGTCCCGAGTAATAATGATTATACAGTTAATGGGAAATAACTCCAGTTAAAGACATGCATCCTTTAGGTACACAGCTGGATATAATAGAACCAAATTCAACTTTTGTAGAGACATTATAAGGAAGGGGAAACTTATGTTGGATGGGGCTCAACTCATCTTTATTGCATGAAACCAAATTGATTCATACATAACAAAATAGTCCCAAACAATAACGATTATACAGTTAAAGGGATCAAATAACTCCAATTAAAGACATGCATCCTTTAGGTACACAGCTGGGTATAATAGAACCAAATGCAACTTTTGTAGAGACATTATAAGGAAGGGCAAACTTATGTTGGAGGGGCTCAACTCATCTTTATTGCATAAGACTGAAACCAAATTGAAAAGCATAAAATATTCGTTTGGTCGCTAGTAAGACTTGCGCATTAAGATTGGCATGAAAGATCTTCTAGGCTTTGTTTTGATGCGAAACATCCCACTGAACCCGGTCTAATTAGAGTTACTTCCCCGGAAACGCCCGCGTTTTGTAAACAAGGGTTACCTCCCTTATACCACAAACTTGCGTTTCAATGCGTTTTTCTTATTTTGAGAAGAAAAGAGTAAATAAAATGGGTTATTTTATTATGTTTTACAGATCTTTGGTCAAGTCTTTGACAATTAACGTGTAATTGTGACTGTGATTTACACATTACTAACCAAATTTTCTTTAAAAAAAAATCAATTGTAACGTGACGTTTTGTTGATATCAGAAAACAATATAAATAATAAAAAAAGATTCGACTGATACCGGTTCCCGATAGCAGTTGGCTACATAGTTAACATAGTGTATCAATTAGGATAACTTATTGACTGGTACTCGTTCTTGGCATATATTAATTTTTGACAGTCCTAGAAGAGTTAGAACTCTTAATAGAATAATAAAAATGGCGTTGAGTGAAGAAAGGTTGAAAGAGATGGAGGAGGAGATGAACAGGTTAGTTCAGTTTCACAGCCTAGGCCTACTTTTATTTCGAATTCCAACTGTATTTTAAGAGTTAAGTGTTCTTTTTATAATACCGTATGTACAGGAACTCTTTTTTTTTTGTCCCATTAGAACACCAAGGAACTATTCCTTGGCTGACCCTGTAGGCTCCATTATGAGCCAGGAACTTTCTCGAATCTAGGACGTCCTGGCGAGTGAGCCTGTGGCTGTGGCTAAAACACTGAGCCATCCTTTCTCCTAAGGCAACTTGCGTCTTTAGGATACTTATTACCAGTATTGTTGTACATGTAATATATTTTGTTTATTTTTATAGATTTGAGTTGGAGATTGAAGGCCCGTCTGTTGATCAACGATTTATTCTGGGTTCGCGGACGTTTCAAGCTGTACAAGCCCAGTTAAAGACGATACGGGCTGGAGTCGAGGCAGATGACCAATCAGATACTCCAGCTACATTACCACTTTCAGGTTAGTTTAAATTTTCAACAATTTTCTGGGGGGGTTGGATGGCCGAACGGTTAGTTGGCCAGAACCTTATTCCCTCAGCCATCAATCATAAGGTCTGTCATTGAGTCAACTGGCATGGTTTTGATTCTTCGGTTGTACATGACAAGGAGTAGAGTCACCTTTTCAACCTCATAGGCTAAGCTTTTCTCCAAGTCCTCCGGTTTCCTCCCACTGCTAAAGACCCATACGCGCAAGCGAATTATTAAAATAAAATCGAACCATGTGTTAGTCCCAGAATGACCTGGTGTGTATCGAGTGGATGTTAAACCCCATTTCTCTCTTTATAAAATGTACATTACTCAAACTGATAATTTAATTTATAAATGTCTCTGTGCACCATGTGGAAAATAGCGAGGTTTATAATGCAGAAAACAAAACCAAAATTTAATTAAAAAGGATTTTGGTGGCTTTGAATTTTAAACAGGTTGTCCAAGCTCAGTTCTACCATCTTCATTCGTCCAGTTGGACCAGAACAGCAGGACATTAAACTCATTTCATTTCGTTTCCTATCTGAGTTCGAAGGAAATTGTACTAACCTTTATTATTGTATAAAGGATGTTTGAATATGAGTATGATAGTTTCCCAGTGTACATGTGCAAGAGCCACAAGTGTATAAGAAAGATGCAGAATGATTTTATTAAATTCAATTCAAGGATATATTTCTTTTAATTTCAGCCCTGATAGCTCCTCCCCCTCCACCTCCACTTGCATCCAACCTTACACAAGCTCCTAATGGACAGCCTCCAGTGCAGCCACCACCTCCTCCACCGAGACCAGCATTTGTTCCACCACAGTTGCGTAATCGCCCTCCTCCTCCTCCCCGTCCTCCAATGCCTTTACCAGCGAGACCTCCCATGCAGCATCAAGGTATGAGGTTTCAGGGACCAGGTGGACCAACAGGTGAAGGAGGACCCATGAATCAGGGCGGACCTATGGGACAAGGTGGTCCTATGGGACCTGGAGGACCAGGTGGGCCTATGGGACCAGGTGGGCCTATGGGACCAGGAGGGCCAATGGGACCAGGAGGGCCAATGGGTCCAGGAGGGCCAATGGGACCTGGAGGGCCAATGGGACCTGGAGGGCCAATGGGACCTGGAGGGCCAATGGGTCCTGGTGGGCCAATGGGCCAGGGAGGACCTATGGGCCCGGGTGGACCCATGCCATTTCAAGGAGGTCCTCAGATGATGGGAGGTCCACATGGACCAATGCATCCTCATATGGGAGGACCAGGCATGAGACCACCAATGATGAGGCCCTATATGCAACAAGGTTGGTCACAAGTTCCAGAGCCAACTCCAGCTGAAATAGAGAAACCAAAAGTAGTGTACTCAGCTGAACCTGTTAGGACAGTTCCTAAAAAGGAGAAGAAAAAGAAACAGAAAGTCGCAGAGACAGCAGAAGCTACTGCTAGCATGGATGTCGATCAGCCAACGGAGATGCCAGACATGGGAGGTTATGATATCGACGGGGAAGCCATGCCTTCTGTTCCCATGGCAACAGAAATGCCTGAAGGATTTGAACAAGAAATGACGACAAAGAAGGATAAAAAAGATAAAAAGAAGAAATATGTGAGAACAGCTGCTGGTACGACGTGGGAGGATCCAACATTAGCCGAGTGGGAATCAGGTCAGTACTCATAGACATTAAATATGTGTTGATGTAAAAAGTAAAAAGATAGATATTCGACATTGCATTAACATCAATAGCAGAATATATTGAAACTAAATGGAAAAACTAGATCTGTTTGTAAGTGCTGGTATTATCTGTTATTGAATTTGTTGGGGTTTTTTAGGATTTCCCTCTAATCAATCACATTTTTATTTATTAGGATTAGGTTTGACTCTGTAACAGTTTATTGCCCTGTTCATTATGTTTTGCTTCCCAACAATTACTGTCCTGTTTATTAGATTCTCTTCTCTAACCAATCACTTCCCGATTCACTCCTCAGCAATTCGCTGTGTTGTTGTGAAACAATAGTCTTGAAATGTTACTTATTTTATTACAGTTTATATTCATGTTGTAAATTTGGTAGAGTTTTGTATGTGTCGATACCATGGCTTGAAACCAGGACAATTGTTTCACTTGCTGGCCTTGACTGACTGTCAGCCATACTAAACTTAAGCTGTCTGTCTACATTTAGCTTCTCTCAAGAACAAACACTAATACGTGACTGACATTTTAAGTCCTAAATCGATGTTTTTAGTTGAAAACTATAAATATATTTCAAGAATTTTGAGAAGTATATATTCTGCTTTCGTTTAATAAAATTAATAAGGTTGAAGGGGCATTAGGTAAGATTAAATAAAGAGCTGACAGTTCTCACTATAATAGTTAAACAATAGATAATGTAAAGGGAATTTGCTGAAAATTTCAGTCAAATTGATTCACTCTGAGATATTAACGATTCAATTTCCGGCTAGTCTCGGTCGTCATTACTATCGTTGGTATGATAAACAAAGTGTTGATTATCCAATTTTGCGTTAAATTATCCATCACAAAATGTATTCAAATCCAGTAAAAATCACAGGCATCAAGAGTTCATTATGGTTTGGATAAGTTAATCAATATCTAATTAATAGCTTAGATAACATTTCAGGCGCAAAGAAAGATCTGCAATAGGCAGATTTAGCTCTTAAACATACATTATGCAAGAGCTAAATCTGTCTATTGCAGGTCTTTCTTTAGGCTTGAAATGTTATCTAAATTATTAATTAGACATTAATTATTTATCCAGACCATAATCAACTCTAGATGGCATCGCTAGCCTGCGATCTTTATTGGATTGTGAGCCGATTTACTGCATAATTTTCCTTCAAGATTTAACAATTAAATGGATAATCAAGACTATGCTGTTTATCGTAATGACTTTAGTAATGATGATCGAAGCTAGGCGGAAATTTCATTCGCTTAATTCTCGGTTCATAGTGGATCAATTTGAATGAAATTTTCAGCAAATTTCCTTTACATTATCTAGTTTGTAACTATTATAGTGAGAACTGCCAACTCATTATCGAATCTCCCATAATGTATTTTAAATAATATATGTTTAACCGTTAAACAACAAAAAATACAGTCATGTATCTTGAAATTACCTTATTTCAAAGAATGTAACACTAACCATAAAACACAAAAAGACCCCCAGCTATAATCTAATCTATATTATATTTTATACTATTTGAATGGCATTTAGTAATTGAACACATTAAGATAAACACAGTAGAATTAGGTCTGATTAAAATACAGTACTTGTTTATCCATGGAACTCTTGTGATTATCTTATATTATATTTTCTTTGCAGATGATTTTCGAATGTTTTGTGGTGATTTGGGTAATGAAGTTACCGATGAACATCTAGCTCGAGCGTTTTCTAAATTTCCGTCGTTTTTAAAAGCTAAAATAGTACGAGATAGACGATCGAATAAATCTAAAGGATATGGTTTCGTTAGTTTTAGTGATCCTGGGGATTTTACTCGTGCCATGAGAGAAATGAACGGTGAGTTGATTTTCTTATTTCACATTGTCTGTGTAATTTTTTTTGTCATAAGGCCTGCCTTAATATTACAGGTAGTATTCTCCTTCACACAAATTAATCTGTAAGATATTTAATACATAATTATCTGCCTTCATTTGGGATGTACAGGGCTGTCGGTAATTTTTCACAGTTGATTAGCAGCACTGCTAATCAAAAAGTCCAATTTTGCCAAATTTGATTAGCAAATTTAAAAATTGATTAGCAGTTTTTCAGTTTCAATGTAAATACCTAGATATTACTTTAATTCATAACAAATATGATTAGATTCCATTCTGACTATTCTTAGATTTTTTTAGCACTGCCACAAGTACTTGTGACAGTTTATAAATGTGATGTAGACATTTAGTTAGGTCTTATGTCTGAAGCCAATTCTTGACAGTGACTTCCGAAGCCCCACTCATTTTAATTGTTATTTTTTTGTTACGTTAGAAATCTTCGTTAGAAAACGATCTCGTCTGCTTTTTATCGTGTATTACTATTTTTGTTCAATCGGGCGCACCACGATTAACTAGACACACGCGATATAAACAATAATATTTTACGGGAATTTTTACTTTGATTTATCATTTTACAATACGTTAACATGTATTTATTTTTTTATATTTTATTTACAATACGTGCGATACACTGGAGTTATTTATTTCAAAATGAATATAATATAATTACTTGATGTCTCGCAACATGAGTGCGACTACTTGATTCCCTATTTCCGGTTTAATAGTCCCTATTCATAGAGTTATGTCCCTGTGTTATATAGTATTGTGTCTGGGTAGTTCGAGAAGAAAATGTCACACGGAGAATTCAGTTTTGTTTATAAAATTTTATTCAACATTTTATACACGTTGAAAGTGTTGAGTAAGCCTTCTAGTCTTCAAAATGTGGATTATTCTTGTGACAATATCCAAAATGACAGGCACATTAATGATTCGCAGTAACTGCGAATCAAAAACGTCAGATTTTAATTTTTGGTTAGCAACGGACGAAATATGTATCGCAAATTGCGCTGCGATACTGGTTGTCGGCAGCCCTGGGGATGTAACATTTTTTATTTTGCCGTTTAAAACGATTATTGTCCTGTCCAAAATCAGCAGTCACGGTGGCTAAGTGGGTAAGACGCTGGCTCGCTAGCCTGGAGGTCGGGTGTTCGATTCCTGCATTGGGCGAGAAAGTTCATCTTGATTTCCCGGCATGGTTTCCATCTTGTCAATGGTGCAGGGCGGAGGGCTTGACAAAGACAGCTGTCTAGTCGTTCGGATGGGACGAAAAACCGAGGTGCCATGTATACATTGACATACACGTAAAAGATCCCTAGACAGTTGGAATTCGATATAAGAGTAGGCCATAGTGCTGCTGCCCGAGCAAAATTTCCCACATAGCACATTGAATGGCATATGCCCTTCTTCATAAGCCCAGTCGGAGCAGAACAGTAGGATTTTAAACCCCATTTCATTTGATTTCTAGTTAAGGTGAGATGATTAGTAATTGGAATAACACATCACATTAACCAAATTTAACCCAGCAGTCTATACATCTCTAAATTGTAGATGACAGTGAGGGGGAGGGTGCAAATGGTTTAATTTGTCATACGGTTTCGATCCCCGCTTGTACATGAGTAAGGTCGTCTGGCCATCCTGCTGTGTAATCTCCTGGTCCTCCAATTTCTTCCCACATTTGATCATGAAGACCTGACCATGCAAGTGCTCATGGTTTAACTCAACCATGGAAATAGTTAACCATACATGTACCTGTATCAAACACATGGAATATGAAACACAACAATGTTTAAATTGAGTACACTGAATTTAAAACATTGTTTAAATATGGTCAGATGTAATTATATGATTTATTACAAATTAACAATTCATCATATCTTTGTAAATGTTAAACTGATATTCCATTAACTGTTTAGAGAGTCTTTCTAGTTTGTAAGGAATTCAAAAGAATTTTGAAATAGAAATATTTGAACATGGACTACATAAACCACCAGAATAGTTGGGTAAAAAGAGTTGCCTCCCTTACAATTAACAGAGTTAATTATCTGTTTCCCAACATCCAAATTCAGATATTTACCGAATACAAATATTGTTTATAGAAAAAACAGAATCAATTAAAGTCTAATTTAAAGGGACAATAACACTCTGGCTGGCTTGACAGCTCCAGAAAATAAAAAAATAGCCTTATTCTAAGTACTAGATGTGTTAGTGTCCTACCTGTTGTGTAAATTATCCATTAAATCCTATTTTACTTGTCCAAAGGGTTCAAAAATATTTTTAAATCCAAGTCACATTTGAAAAGCTTTACGTCAGGCTTTTCAAATCAATTAGTTGAATTTTTCCAATTTTTTAAATTAGGTGTGTTAAGATGAAATTTGTATCATCAATTAATTGGAATATTGTAAAATAGTACAATTTGTTGACCAGAATAAAGATTGGGACATATTATTCAGTTACAACAAGAGTGGTATTGAGGCTTTAAAAACTAAAGATAGGAATATGTTTTAATATGTATTATGATAATATAGCTAGGCCTACATGCACATGTCATAATACAACATTTTACACACAATTGTTCTAATGTGCATATGCTTTTAATGTGAAGGGGTGGGGGGATGAATGGTCGAATAGTTAGCATGTGCGCGCTGTATCATTAAGTCTGTCATTGAGTCAACTGGTGGGGTTTCAATTCCCCGGTGGTGCGTGACAAGGAGAAGAGTCACCTGTCCAACTTCGTGGGTTTCCTCCCACTGCTAAAGAACCCAACGTGCAACATTGTGTTAGCTCCGAAAAGACCTAGTTTGTGTTAATGTGTAATGGATCGACACGAGTATCAACAAAGAAGGCATAAAGTTTAAGTTGTTTGTTTTTCCTATTAACCCTATTTCTCACTTGTTTCTCTCACTATCTTTGGAACTGTGGTTGTCACGTGGACACACTAGAATAGAATGTCACAGATTACTAATTACTAATGTCAAAATTACAAGCTGTTCAAAACACCGCTGCGAGAATAATAAGTAAAACATCACGACGCTCTCATATAACACCTATTCTGAAGGAACTTCACTGGTTGCCAGTACATTTCAGAATAACGTTCAAAATCTTGTGTCTTGTGTTTAAATGCTTACATGGATCCAGCCCAGAATATCTGACTGAACTTTTACAAGTTTATGAACCATTAAGAAATCTTCGTTCCCAAGAACAGTGCCTTTTACACATAGTGAAATTCAAATTGCAATCCTTTGGTTATAAATCTTTTAGATGTTATGCACCAATCGTATGGAATTCCCTACCACACAGCATTAAAACGTCAAGTTCTCTTGAATTGTTTAAGACAAAATTGAAAACTCATTTATTTAATCTAGAATACGAGTGATCAAGCTAGTGTAAATAGTGTAAAGTGTACAGAGTGTCATGACTGCGCCTTGAGCATGTAATTTTGGATGGAATTGGCACTATATAAATATACATTATTATTATTAGATTCAATTTATAAAAATTTATAGTCACTTAGACAGCGTAAGATATATATTTAGAACCATTTAAATACAAATACAAATAAGGTCACTTTCTCTTAAATTTTATGATCACTTTTTAGTTGGAGTACCATCGCTGTCTTGACAGAATTATCACCTCCGCCCCCAAGTTTTGCACACCCTTGGGTCATCCTCAAACTCCACTTTACAGTTTACTCACCCACATGTCACATCCTCCACCCCCGCCCTTATATTGTGCACTTTACTCACCCTCATGTCACATTCTCCACCCTTATGTCACATTCTCCACCCTCATGTCACATCCTCCACCCCACCCTCAAATTGTACACTTTTCTCACCCTCATGTCACATCCTCCACCCCTACCCTCAAGTTGTACACTTTACTCACCCTCGCGTCACATAATCTACCCCACCCTCAAATTGTGCACTTTACTCACACTTGTGTCATCCTCTGCCCCCACCTTCAAATTGTACACTTTACTCAGACTTGTATCCCATACTCCACCCCCACCCTTAAATTGAGCACTTTAACCACCCGTATGTTACATCCTACACTCTCAAATTGTGCACTTAACTAACCTTGTGTCATCCACTGACCCACCCTCAAGTTGTGCACTTTACTCACCTTTAACCCCACAAATGAATGGAAGTTAACAAGAAATTAAACTCCTCTGTAGTGTAATTCATTTAAATCGATGCCAACATCACCATGTTTGTTGAATATCTATGGTTGTTTGTGTAAATATCACATATCCGGTACTGATCTAATACAAGATTAATAGAAAGCCTAAAAGAAGACCCACAATATGTCCAAATTCTTGGATTACATTTTCGACTGTGTGGGCATAGATCAACTGTGATCAACTAACGATAGTATTAGGATGACTGACATTTGAAGTTGTTTTTTTTTTAATTTTAAATTAATTCTTAGGTTTTTAAAATATTTACCACCCAAGCTGAATAAACAGAAAAGAAATGAAATATTTTTTTAGCAACCTACTTTTCTGCACTGACTTGGCTAATGATGACAGGGTTGTGTCATGAGTGAAATTTTCCAAATCGTCATCGAATTCCAAATGTTAAGTGTTCTTTTATGTGCACTGGACCAGGTTCTTTCGTCCCATCTGAAAAATTAGACTCTGTTCCTTTCTTGGCCATATGACTTGCTCCACTAAAAACCAGGGAACTTTCTAGGATAACACGGGGATCGAACCCTGAATCTCCTAGTTAGTGAGGCAGTCTTACTTAATGAGCCGACATGAGTCCCTTAAAGATACATTATGCGAGATTAGATAAAGAGCTGGTAGTTCTCACTGTAATAGTTAAAAACTACTTAATTTAATGGGAATATGCTGAAAATTTCAGACAAATTGATCCACCCTGATTCAAGTATTTACTCATTGATATTTGGGCCTAGCTTCGTTCATCATTACTAAAGTCTGTACGATCAAAAACATAGTCTCGATTATCC